ACACATGCGTTCACCTGGACAACAAAAATGTGTTCACATGGAATTTACATTTCCTGCACGCCTGGGCGACACATAAATCAAGTTCCCGAAGCCGGCTGTGAGGCGCTATTCCATGGGGCTCTGCCTTGAACAACGCTTGTGTTTTATATGCGTGTTCCAAGTAGGAAAATAGTGTTCGTGTACGATCAATCTAGCTTTTTTGCAACACATTGCTAGCGCGCGAGCCTGCTGCTGCTGCTGCTGCTACTACTGCTAGTACTATCAGTATCGGATGCGTCTCCAGCAGTTACAGGCTTCAGCTTAGCAAAAGCTTTCCGGCACATTGCGCTTCTTTCTCGCTTAGCTGCACAGTGTCTTTCGTATCGATTGCTAAAGTGCTTTGATCGTATTGTGGCAACTCTTCGTATCGATTCAGTAAAGCATTTGCTTTCGCAGGGAAATACGCAACCCAATTCTTCCGTATGCTCGGTACAAGGCATCCCTGCCGTCTTGCCTCAGCCGTTGTTTCTCCCCTTTGTCCAGCAAATCGCACTCCATGATAATTGCATGCGAGGAGAGCGGAAGCAAATTTGGATTGAAGCGTAACTGGGAACCGGTCACAGCTGACCACTGCGCTAGCGCCTTGCTAGCGCGCGGCTAGCGCGGGTTCGCCGTATTTTTTGGAGTCACGGCGACCATCTGTGTGGATTTGACAAATTAAGGCCACGTAAGATGAAGGTAAACGTGCGGGCTGGCTTCAAGTACTAAGTAAGAACTGCAACATTACACCCTTGAAAGCCACGCAAAGCCCATCGCGGCAACCCACGCGCCAACTCTTGGAAACCAAGATCACCGAAGACCCTAGCGCAAACCAAGCGCCATCCTAGCGCCTCCAGTGGGGAGCGGGCAATCCATTGGTATTTGCAGGACTCCGCTTGACTCCGCTTTGTGTGAATGAAAAACGGGTCGAGATTTAATTTGGGTTTTTTTTGTTTTTTTTTTGGGATTTTTTTGTTTTCCGTCCTGGCTACTAAAATGCTGTAATTTACAGCATTTTCTCGCGAAATGTACGTATTTTACGCTAGTCCGTCAACATCATCAGCATCGTTTTCAACATCCCCCGCATGTCCAGCCAACATCCCCAGCATCACCAGCAAATTGGCTTCCCGCATCTCATGGTAAAAGTGAGGATTCAAATACGGGCAAACTAATCCCTGTAAAACACCTAAAACGTGGCGGCAGCCCCCCCCATGATGATCGAAAAAGTGATGATTCAATCAGGGGCAAAAAGTCTAAAAAATAGCGGGGGGGGTTGGGGGGGGCGGCAGCCCCCCCCATGATGATCGAAAAATTAGGGGCAAAGAATCTAAAAAGTAGCTGTCGCATGATGATCGAAAAAGTGATGATTCAAATAGGCGTGCATTTTAATCGAAAGGGGGGTGGCGGGGGCCCAGAGAGGAACTGGCGATGCTGAGGATGCAGGAAGCCAACTGGAAAAGCATCAGGATGCGAAAAGCCAAAGCCAGAAAGCCGCCAAAAGCCAAAAAGCCAAAAAGCCAAAAAGCCAAAAAGCCACCTGCCGCAGCGGAACTGGCAATGCAGAGGATGCGAAAAGAGAGGAACTGTGAATGCAGATGATGCGAAATGAAAAGCCACGAAAGCCACAAAAACCCACGTAAAAGCCACAAAAGCCAAAAAGCCGAAAAGCCACCGACCCTGAAAAACAAAAATAATTCCTAAAAAAAAACGAAAAATTCTTAAAAAAATGGCCCTCCATTTAAAACTGCACAAAGTGACTGCGACGGTGGCCTCTGTAGACTAAACCCCCTTACTAGGAATTTTGACCGGATCGCATATGTGTTTTATCAGAACAATCGCATGCTTTCACCTGGAACACAAACATGTGCTGACGTGGAACACACTCATGTGGTCACATGCAAAAAGTGCGTGTTCACTTGGAACGCGCCGATGTGGTCAGCTGGAACACACCAAGAACACACAATCATTTACTTGAAGCACTCGTACGTGCATCCGCAGCATGCTGCCTGTGGCTTGATCAAGCGCACGCGCGCGCTCAAACACACGTTTCTGAGCCTCAAACACACATGCGTGCCCGCGGAATACACCGCGAATGACCAGGGAGCCGTGCCAGGCATCCAGGCTGGGGGACAACAAGAAGGAGACAAAGGGAGACAAATGAACCCGTCCGCCCGGAGAGCCGTGCCAGACATCCAAGCTGGGAGACAAACGAATCCGTCCACCCAGAGAGCCGTGACAGGCATCCAGGCTGGGAGACAACCGGGGCCAAATAAAGGGAGACAAAGGGAGACAAATGAATCTGTCAGGCAAATGAAGGGAGAGGAACCCGTCCGCCGGGAGAGCCGGGACAACCCCAGGTGCCAAGAGCACCACTGGGTATCTCGGCGTAGGTTCGTTGAACATCATCAAAGAATCGATAGACGATTTAACTCCAGCGTGATTCACGTTTGTTTCACCGGGGGGTTAACAGAGCCTTCTCGTAGCTGAAGCCGTGCACCGCAGCGCACCGCTCTCGTCAGCTCGGGACTCCAAATGCGAGCAAGGACAGAGAGAGGCCGCAACTGATAACGAGGCACTGAACGAACAGACAGGGTGTAGCCAACGATAGACAAGGAAGACGACCCACCACGAGCCCAAGCAAAATCGAAGTCCAGATGAAGGGCAGACAGAGGACCCTGTCCCCAACATCCACAAGACAAGGAATGACCGAAGCCAGGGCCGAAGCCGAAGGCAAACCAGACCCCGCCAAAAGGACAGAACCGCGGGAAGTGAAGGAAACCGCGGAGCGTGAGTGCCACACATCCAGGCTGGGAGACAACGGGAGACAAATGAATCCGTCCACCCAGAGGGGCATCCAGGCTGGGAGACAACGGGAGACAAACAAAGGGAGACAAAGGGAGACAAATGAATCCGTCCACCCAGAGAGGCATCCAGGCTGGGAGACAACGGGAGACAAATAAAGGGAGACAAAGGGAGACAAATCAATCCGTCCACCCACGAGATGGGAGACAAATGAAGGGGAACCAAGGGAGACAAGTGAATCCGTCCGCCTGGAGAGCCGTGACAGACATCCAGGCTGGGAGACAAGGGGAGCCAAATGAAGGGAGACAAAGGGAGACAAGTGAAACTGTCCACCCAAAGAGCCGTGCCAGGCATCCAGGCTGGGAGACAACGGGAGACAAATGAAGGGAGACAAAGGGAGACAAGTGAATCTGTCCGCCTGGAGAGCCGTGCCAGACATCCAGGCTGGGAGACAACGGGAGACAAATGAAGGGAAACAAAGCCCAGAGAGCCGTGCCAGACAAATGAAGGGAGACAAAGGGAGACAAATGAACCCGTCCACCCAGACATCCAGGCTGGGAGACAAGGGGAGCCAAATGAAGGGAGACAAAGGGAGACAAATGAACCCGTCCACCCAGAGAGCCGTGCCAGGCATCCAGGCTGGGAGACAACGGGAGACAAATGAAGGGAGACAAAGGGAGACAAATGAACCCCTCCACCCCAGAGAGCCGTGACAGGCGTCCAGGCTGGGAGACAACCGGGGCCAAATAAAGGGAGACAAAGGGAGACAAATGAACCCGTCCACCCAGAGAGCCGTGCCAGGCATCCAGGCTGGGAGACAACGGGAGACAAATGACAAAGGGGGACAAATGAACCCGTCCACCCAGACTGGATCATCCAGGCTGGGAGACAACGGGAGACAAATGAAGGGAGACAAAGGGAGACAAGTGAACCCAGGGAGACAAACGAACGCGTCCACCCAGAGAGCCGTGCCAGGCATCCAGGCGGGGAGACAACGGGAGACAAATGAAGGGAGACACAGGGAGACAAATGAACCCGTCCACCCAGAGAGCTGTGCCAGGCATCCAGGCTAGGGCTTGGCAACAGGCGAGCCACCTTAAATGAATTTAGAACCCCTCACAGTAAACTGTTTGGGGAAAAAAACAAAAAGCACCCACCCACCGTTGGGTGAGCCTTTTCCCCCATCTGAGAGTGTGATGGGCAAATACGGAAAACAAATGGGCTCAGATTTGGCCACCCTGGGGAAAATGCTTTCTATAATTGCGGACCCCAGATCCTGTTTAAGAGGGACAACTGCCCATAAGTGAACACCCCAGCGGGCCTACAGCTCGCGCCACAAACCAAAATGGTGTGTTTGCCTGGGCCCAGTACAAACGAAGGCCCCCGGATGCCTAGCTACCGAGATCGAGTGTCCAGCAAGAGTCTGGAACAGACGGATAGTCAGAAGACAAAATCGGGCGCAAAATTTATGAGATCCTTCATGACATTGGTGAGTCGTGTTCTCCAACCTCTGCTTGGCAGAGGGGAATGCATCGAGACGGTGGTGACAGCAGGCCGGAGGAACAACTTGACAGCACTTCGACCAGCCCAAACACGTATTCCTCATACAAAACTGGGCAAAACATTCTGACTTTGGGGGTCAATTCCCGATCCCCACTGCCTCTCCGACTTGCAAACGTCCCACTGGCAAAAGAAAGCAGTCTGAACCTGCTTTTTGCAGGGCTCTGGCAGTGCATCCCGCCAGAATAGCCAGACCCCACTTTTGCTATAGCTTGGAATCCTCTGAAGCCGAGGGCTCGTATTCAACGAATCTCGGGAGAGAACGAATCTTCGAATCTAAAACGCCCCGGCAGAAGTGCCCTCGGAAGCTAAGGGGCCGAGGTTCGGAGAGGCTGGAACTGCGGTCCAAACCCTGGCCATCCCTGGCCAAGGCCTCAAACCTCTCTCGTGAATTCCCACTTCCCCCAAGCCTCCAGTGCATTTCCAGGGGGAAACAGGACAACCTTGGCCAAAACAAACACTCCAGTGGGCTCTGCATCTGCTCTTCGCCAAGTACCTCGGCCTAGTCCGCATCTGGCTGCAGACCAGCCAAACAAAATTCCATGGGTCTGAGCCAATCTGAGCCATGTTCCTGACAACAAGCTTAGGCAAGGGACTGGATGGCTTGGATCGCCTTCATTTCTTTGAGGTAAGGGTTGGGCGCAGACGCGGCAAGAACTCTCGATGCAATGTTTCAACTAAGAACCTAAGTGGTGCCAGACCTTCGCTGAAGGCGCACCAGACATCTGCTCATTTACTGCCTGGCATGCAAGCAAGTCGGGTCTCTCTGTCTCTGACTCCACCCGGCCTGCCGCGGGCGCTGGCCCTGGGTTGACTGGCACCACGTTGCCTCAAATGACGGTCGCGAATAGCAAGTTCATTTGCCGTCTTCTCCTCAAAGCAACTCTAGATGCTTGGTTTCTCATTTAGGACCCAAAGGATAGGGGAGCGAGGGTTGCCTGCAAACTGCGGCTTTACTGATGAGCAATGAGTTGTGGGCTACCCGTTTTCCCCCGGTTGGCTTCACTTCCAGTTGCCTTTATTGGGCGGCTTGGGCTGAGGCATGGGCGGTTGACTGTTCGTAGGGATAGGGTGAAATTGGGCTGGGACAAGGGATTGGTTCGGGGTTGGTATAAGGTGGATTTAGGGTGCGCTTAGGTTAATTTTCAGGGTGGGGTTGGGTGAAATGGCGGGCCAAGAGATTGCTTTAGGGAATGGACCAAGAGACTGGTTGAGGGTTGGTGGCTTTAGGGCTTACGTTGAAGATTGGCTTTAGCAGAACGCCCAAAAATCAAGCTCAGCTCGAGTTTCAGCTAGCAGAACCCTCCCATCTGAGGCAGGCTACAAATGGAGGCCGTGCGGTTCCACTTGCCCGCCTTTTGTGCCGCCGGTGCTTCATCCTGCAGTTTGGCTGGTGCGCCACCGCTTCGCGAATCTCTTGCAGATTCGAATCGGAACGTGTTGGCAAAAGCACCGGAATGAAACAGGTGTCATGCTCCCAGTCGAGAAATTGTAGCTACATTGCATGAACACGTGCCGACTTGTGCCTCGCTGCTGTCGTCCAAGCCAGAGCTCATGCTCCTTTCGCTTTGCGCCTGGTCCAAGCAAGGCTCTCCCTAGCTCGGATGCTTTGACTTACCCACACATCGTATACATTCTGGAAGTTATTCTACCTCTCAAACTGGAATTGAGGGACCCTCCCTGTAGTAGAACCTTTACCGGTTTTCGCTCGTATCAAGGTGAGCTCCTGACATCTGAAAGCTTGAACCCCCAGTCCAATGCTTCAACTGCTTTGCCATGGCAAATCATTGCCCCCCCAATTCTATCAATTCTACCAGTTTACCAGGGGCTGGTTGGGGATGCGACCCCTCGGCCTCCTGCTCCTGGCGCGCCAGCTGCATCCTGTCCACCAGCTCCTGCAGCTGCGGCGGCAGCTTGCCCGGACCGGCAGCAGCAGCGGCATGGTGGCTGTCCTCAAAAGAAGCGGCGAAGCAAACTGAAAAGAAACGCAACTCACAACTCACGGTTGGTGGACTTTGGTAGACTCACCTTTCGGTGGCTTGGATCGGGCGTTGAACAAAATGAACTTTGACCAAACCACCAACAACCAAGCAGTCAGCTGAATACCAGTCGGGTGGCATAGCTGACCACAGAGAAGCGGTGGAGCATGCCGTTACTGATGCGGCGCATGCCGTTCAGAAACCTCTACGCGGCAGGGTTGGTCCCCCCAACATGAATTCAAGCACCATCATTGAAACAGCCAATCAAAAACAGGCTTGGTGAGAAAAACCAATTTTGCAAGGGCCAGGATCTCATGACAATGCCAGGAAAACGACTACCAGCCCTGGCTTCACCTGTACAAAGTAACTCAGCCGGTCCAGTCAAAGAGAGCGAGAACTGCCCTGCCTATTGAAGTTGGGGCTCAGTGGCTCTGGTTGGATCACATGCCTTGGCAGCTTGGCTTCTGAACATGCGAGCGTACAAATTCACCGCTGCACTTTGCCGAGGTGCCCCAAAATATCCTCTGCTTGGCTCATGGAACAGGCAGCCCATGTGTAGACGAACTCTTCCTCACAACGCGGTGCAATTCAATAAAAACAAAACACGGCCTGGAAGGCTGCTCCAAGAAGAACCCGAATCACGAAACGAAAGCCCTGAATGTATTGAGTCCAAAGTTTGCCAGTGGCGTGCACTAAAGCAATAGAGTCAATTGGAGCTTCGGCAGCACGCATGCAGCTGCAAGCAAGGAGCGTCAATCCAAACATCTGAAAGAGCCGACGGATTGACAGAAAAGTGCTTCCAGAATTGTTTGGCATAGGTGCGCACCTCGGCTGCAAGGGCCGTCGGAATCTAAAGGGCCTCTCCGTAATCTCGCCCGGGACATGAAGTGGTCAGCTCACGGCAACACGGCGCATCTCACCAGGTGGCAGTGGCCTCTTCCTTGAGAATGTCCTGCGGCACGCGAAATACTGGGCCCCTTAAAGTTGCTTCCAGGAAACCCTTGAAAGGTGGTTTAAATGGAAAGACACAACCCGCTCAAAAGTCATTTGGAGCACCCTCGACAATATCATGCCGCTCGAACTTTTCCGGTACAGCCCCTGAACCCTTGCCCTCCTGCACCTTTGCCGCGTCCAGGGCAACCAGCTCCTGGCAACTGACACACTGCACGGAAGTTGTCAAAATTGGGGGGTCCCCTTTTGGCTGTGGGGATTTGTGGGGGTTTTCCACGGTGTCTTCGCCGAAAGCGCCAAAACGGGAACGTGAAAGCATCACGGAAACGCGAAGGCGCGAAGCCAAAACCAACCCGAAACCCACCCTAAACCAACCCAAAACCAACCCTGAACCCTAAGCCAATCCTAAACCAACCCGAAATCAGCCCCGAACCGACCCGAAACCAGCCCCAAACCAACCCGAAACCAATCCCTAAACCAACTCGAAACCAACCTGAACCAACCCTGAACCAACCCTGAACCAACCCAAAACCAACCCTAATACCCTCGCCCAACCCCCACCCAATCCTCCAGCAACCCTCCAACACGCAACCAATCGCGCACACACACACACACACGCATGCACATACGGACGCGAGGGCGACCACGAGCGTTTCGGCAGTAGCTTTTTGGGATCACCTGCCAAGTCGGCACCAGGCGCAACCAGGGTTGAAAATTCCACCCAAGGCAAGCAACAAAGTCGCCAGGCACAGATCTGTGTCCGATGCGGGCTCGGAGTGAAAAGGCCACGCGGCAAGCGCTTGTCCGTTTTCAGATGTCCGCTGAGGGCGCACGGAATCTGTCTGGGGGTCAACAAAACAAGTCCCAACCTCACGCGACCCTAAACGGGTTTCCAAGAAACGGGTTTCCAATAACCGGGTTCCAGCTTGCAAGGACAATATGCATGTAGCATCCGAAAGGGCCCGCTTGCTAGAACATGGAACCCGTTCAACAGGTTACCCAAGACCCTGCCACTGCGCGGCCACAAAGAACTGATCGATTTTCCGCCGGGCGGCGCACTGCGAAGTGCCGCTGGCAGTGCCCACGTGCTGCCACTTCAGCCAGAGCGCGGGTTCTACGAGCCAGGGTTGCATGGTAGTCTGACTTTGCCTGAGTCCGGGACACCCGACCTCTCGGACCAAATGCAGCCCTTCGGCAACACCACGCATGGAGGTAGATCATCAGCGGTACAAACAAACAATGCCGAACAAAAACACAAAGGGACAAAAAACCAAACAGACAAACAGACAGACAGACAGACAGCCAGCCAGCCAGACAGACAGACAGAAAGCAGGCAGGCAGACAGGACAGACAGACAGACAGACAGAAAGCAGGCAGGCAGACAGGACAGACAGACAGACAGACCGGCAGACCGGCAGACCGGCAGACCGGCAGACCGGCAGGCAGGCAGGCAGGCAGGCAGGCAGGCAGGCAGGCAGACAGACACAGACAGACAGAGAGATAGACAGACACAGCAATGGACACAAACACAGACACAAACAAGAAGAAGAACAACAGCAACGACAACGACGACGACGACGACAACCACAACAACAACCACAACAGCGGCAGCAGTGGCAGCAGCAGAGGCAACAACAACAACCACAACAACCACAACGACGACGACGACGCCGACGACAACGACGGCGACGGCGACGGCGACGGCCACAACAACAACAACAACAACAACAACAACAACAACAACAACAACAACAACAACAACAACAACAACAACAACAACAACAACAACAACAACAACAACAACAACAACAACAACAACAACAACGACCACGACGACGACGACGACGACGACGACGACGACGACGACGACGACGACGACGACGACGACGACGACGACGACAGCAACGACGACGACGACGACGACAACGACGACCACGACCACGACCACGACCACCACCACCACCACCACCACCACCACAACCACAACCGCAACAACAACAACAACAACAACAACAACAACAACAACAACAACAACAACAACAACAACAACAACAACGACGCAGCAACGATAGCGATATTTGGTTGATTGGTGTTCGTTGCGGTTGTTAGATGTCGGTTGTTGGATGGTGTTGGATGTGTGGTTGTTTGACGCTTCAGCGTTTTTTGTTGTTTGCGTTGCTTTCGTTCCTGTTGCTGCTGCTGCTGCTGCTGCTGGTGTTGTTGGTGTTGTTAGTGTTGTTGGTGGTGTTGTTGCTGCTGTTGCTGTTGCTGTTGCTGTTGTTGCCGTTTATTTTTGCGAGAAGCTGGCAAGAGAAGCAAGGACGGCGTGCGAACACCCGAAAGTTGATTATATTTCTTACAAGTTGTGAAGCAACACTCCAAAAGCTACAGTACCCCGCAGTTCCGTAAAGTCGGCAGCTGTCGTTTTACACGATGAGCTCCTCGCATGCCTCCGCGAAACAACAAAAGAAACACACACACACACACACGGCGCGCGCAAACACACACAAACACACACACCGCACACACGCACGCGCGCAAGCACACACACACACACACACACAAACGCGCACACACACACACACACAGACGCGCGCACACACACACACACACACACACACGCAGGCACGCGCGCGCACGCGCACACTTTTTTGAAAACTCCCAAAACAACAGCGCTTCACGGAGGCGGCCAAATAGACCTTGTATCACTTTGCAAGCACACGCGGATGATCAGCCCTCGCTCCCCCCATGGCGGTTAGCTTCGCCCTGCTCATGATGGTTCCTGGGTAGATCAGGAACTCCGCGCACACACGCGCCAAAAAAAAAAAAAAAAAAGGTTCCGAAGAGGGCAAACAACCCTAAACAGCGCACGCCTTGTAGACAAAAAGAACCGCGAAGCGAAAGAGAGGCGAGGAGGAAGAGAGGGGGGGAGAAGAAAAATGACATAAAGAGAAGGAGAGACGGAGGAAGAAGGAGAGGGATAGTGTGAGTGCTTAGGGCGTCGCATGAAGAGGAGGATGAGAAGAACCGCGTCTTGTAGAGGACGACGTTTCCCGCGCAGGGGCAAATGGAGGTACACCAGCTGCCAAGGAGGAAATAGAGTAGCAGATGACAAGCCAAACAGCGCGAGGGAACGAGGGGCGCGAGCTAGAAGGCAGACAAGGAGAGAAGACGAGGAAAAAGGCAAACAACTCGAAGACAAACAGGCAGAACCCATCCCTA